GTGTTATTTTTCAATCATAGTATTTGGTGGGCTTCCAGTATTTTTCTGTTTTCTAATTCTGTTGAAGTCAGAAAATACTATGTATTGAATTGGATTCTTAGTCTGTTTTTTTTTAATTTTATTTATTTATGTGTGTGTGTGTGTGTGTGTGTGTGTGTGTGTCCAGCTCAGCCCACCAGGGGGCGGGCTGGCATGTGGTGCTGGGGGATTGAACCGTAGTCCCTGTGCTTTGCTAAGCTTGTTCTAAGTAGGTGCTTTAGACCACTGAGCCATCACACCAGCCCCTGAATTGGATTCTTTTAAGCTTACAGAGAACTACGTTTTTCCTTGGTAAATATTTCACATTCCCTTGAAGAGAATATGTATTTGTCTTTTATTGCATATAATGTCTTATCTTTAATATACATGGTCTGAGTGGCTCTATAGTTTTCAACTCTTGTAAATCCTACTGATTTTTCTTTCTTATTCAATAAATACTGAGAGAAAGCCATTGAGTTCTCTGATGATAGTCATGGATATTTCTCCTGGTTATTTTTGCTAGTTTTTGGTTCATTTATTTTGGAACTATGATAGGTACACAATTAACATTGTAATTGTTAAGTCTTCCTGAAGAATTGGTTCCATTATCATTTATAAAATTAGCCTGTTTTCCCTCAGATCTTTTTTTTTTTTAAATTTATTTGTTTTTTAAAAATGTATTTAGTACAGGGTCTGTGGGGTCTCACTACACAGATTGGACTTGTAGTGATCTCCTGTTTCCAGCGTCCCAAGCGCTGGGATTACAGGTGCACACCACCATGCCCAGTTTCAGTTGTTGTTTCAGTGCGCCCCGGGGAGGGGGCCTGCACAGCATCTCAGATCTTCTTTATCTGATGTTAATAGAGCTATTCCAACTTTCTTTTTGGTGCATGTTAGCAAAATATACCTTTTCTCATCTTTTTACTTTTATCTTATTATATTTATTTTCTTTCTTTCTTTCTTTTTAGAGACAGGGTCTTACTATGCAGTTCAGGCTGGCTCTTGAGCTCTCAACAATCCTCTTGCCTCAGCCTCCCGAGTGCTGGGATTACAGGTGTGTGCCACCATGCCTGGCTTTCTGTTTTCTTTATACTTAAGTATGTTTCTTTTGTAGGCTGCATATAATTGGGCCTTGCTTCTTAATCTAATCTGTCTCTGTGGGGATGTTTAGACCATTGTGTTTAAGGTAATTGTTGACATGGCTATTATGGTTGCAGTTTATTTTCCTTTCTCATCATCTTTTGGATTATTTAGTATTTTCTGTGATTCCATTTCCCCTCTTTTGTTTATTAACCACAATTCTTTGTTATTGGTGGGGTTATTCTAGAGCTGTAATACACCTTAACGTACCATTGAATATTATTAAGTAATACTATACCCTTTAATATATAAATCTTAAGATAGTATACACTAGTTTTTTCCCTTTTGGCTGCATGAGTGTATATGTATGTTAAAATAGTATGACATAAAATTGGCCATTTTAACCATTAAGTGTATAATCCAGTGGCATTAAGTACATTCTCAATATTACTTAACTGTCACTATTACCTATTTCTCAAACTTGAAATAGAAATTCTGTAATCAGTAATTCCTCCTTCCCCAGTGCCTGCTTGCTTTCAGTCTGAGTCATGTATAGACCACTCTTTTTTTTTTTTTTTTTTTTTTTGCGGAACTGGGGATTGAACTCAGGCCCTTGCACTTGCCAGGGAAGCGCTTACTCCACTGAGCCATCTCCCCGGCCCCTAGACCACTCATATTTAATGTCATTATTTATGTTTGATTAAATGATACCATCTTGCTGTTTTCTACTTTTTATTTCTTCTATTGTTTCTTGGGTTGAGAATTTTTATGTTTCTTTTTATCCACTGTTTTTAATCTTTGAAGTGGTGGTGTTTAAACCCATGGCCTTGTACATGCTAGGCAAATACTCTTCCTCTAAGCTTATCCTAAACCCTAAATCCACCACTGATTTGATATTTATCGTACCCTTTTAAAAAAAATTAGCTGTTAGCCTTGGATTTGTAATATACTTTTTTTTTTTTTGTAATATATATCTTTAGTCGAGAATCTACCTTCAGATAATTTTGCCTGGATTTTTTTGGTATCAGGAATCAAACTCAGGACTTTGCGCTTGCCAGGCAGGCACTTGTGCCACTGAGCTCTATCCCTGGCCCGTACACTTCTTTACATTTCATGTAGGGCTTCATTTCACAATCTATTCTTGGTGATGTTATTGTCACATGAATGCATTCCTATTTTTGGTATAGACATTATCTTTTAGAGCAACAACAGATTTTTTTATTGAAAAGTTGAATTTCATTTTATTATCATTGGTTGCATTTCCAGGAATTTCTTTATCTTGAGTTTCTGACTAGTATATTCCTTTTCACTAAAGAATCTTCATGGGGGGTACAGAGGCAATCACTGATCTGTTGATAATACATTCTTTCAGTGTTCATCTGAGAGAGTTTATTCTTCATCTTTTGAAAGACTTTTTTCTAGATATAGGATTTATGGGTTGAAAGTGGTATCTTTGTTAAAGATACTGCTCCCTCATCTTCTGTTCTCCGTGGTTTCCAAGACAGCTGCTGTAATTCTTAACTTTGTTGCTATGTATTTTTTCTTTGTCTTTAGGATTTTCATGTCTTGTTTTTAGCACCTTGAATGTGATATGTGTAGGGGCCACTTTTCTTTCTTTTTTCTTCTCTTTTCTTTCATATTCCCAAATATATCTGTAGTTCATTGTCTGAGTAATTTTGGAAAATTCTTGTCCACTTCTGTCCATTTTCTCTTCTCTTAGCAATAAAAAAGCTTTCTATGTCTTAGATGTACTGTTACATGATTGGTGTTGGATTTTTGCTTTTGTTACTTAAATTCAAGATTTGTTTGGCTTTAGTTTAGGTAATTTTTATTGACCTATCTTTGAATTTGTTGATTGTTTCTTTGGCTCTATCAGATTACAGATGAACCTGACAAAGGCACTCCTCTTGTCTATTAGTTTTTTGTTTGTTTTTACTTTCAGCACCTCTCTACTGTACTTTTTAATATTAGTTTTTATCTTTTTCCTCCTTGCAGCAGTAGAAGGAGAGATTTAGGTTTGGTTAGTTTATTCTTACAGTTTTTTATTAATTTGAAAAAAACCTCTTGACTCAGAAATTACCAAAATAGGGCTGGTGAGATGGCTCAGTGGTCTAAAGCACCTACTCAGAACAAGCTAAGCAAAGCACAGGGACAACGGTTCAATCCCCCAGCACCACATGCCAGCCAGCCCCGCCCCCTGGTGGGCTGAGCTGGCCACACACAAATAAATAAATAAATAAAATTTAAAAAAATAAATAAATAAAAATAAAATTAAAAAAAAAAAAAAGAAATTACCAAAATAGGACAGGAAATGCATGCAGTGTATCTCAAGAAAGCATAATGTGAGCAGACAGTTTCAGACTCCATTAAAGAAGAAAGACCTGCTGGGGGTGTGTGCTAGTCTAATTGACTTGCTGAGGGTCAGCAGTCATCTAAAAACAATTCTTGCCCGCCCCCCACTTCACAAGATTATTAAAATAATTTATTTTATCCCTGTTTGTCCTGAATAAAAATAAAGTTGGTTACTTTTATCTAGCTTTTGTTCTTAAGTAGCTTATGAGGTTCTGGATTATGGCATCTTGGTAATGTTAGGTTTCTAGTATCTTATTGTTTTTTTTTTTTTTTTTTTTTTTTTTTTTTTTTTTTTTTTTTTTTTGCGCGGAACAGGAGATTAAACTCAGGCCCTTGCGTTTGCCAGGCAAGCACTTATTCTACTGAGCTATCTCTCCAGCCCCAGCGTCCATTTTTTGTTTGGTTAGAAAATTTCCTGCATTCTTCACCTGTATCTGGCCAGTCACAAATTTTTATTTGTTCTTTGCAATGTCAGATTTACTACACACTGAGTGGAATTTCATGGTAACATCATTCCTCTATTCAGTATGTATTTAAGCATTTGTACTCAGAATAGCCAAGGATCTCTATATAAATGTGTGCCTTCCATATGGAGCAGAGGACTATGCTAGAACCCAGCAGGATAGTGTTGTAGGGTAACAGCTTCAGAGGCTTCACTGAGCTTGGTCTCTCTCTAAGTGAGCCCAGAGCCAAGGAAACTTCTCACACTTATTGAGGGCTAAAAACAGGCTAAGGAATGCACATAACTAACTTGGTGTAGGCCATTTATTATTTACATTGCCTTCTGGCATCCACTAATAAGTTTACGTATCAGTAGTTTGTAATATCCTAGTTAAAGGAACAAAGAACAGACAAGGCGCCTGCAGGAATTTGTTCCCTGTATCCCAGCTTGTGGAGGAGATGGCACATTTCCTCAGGCTCCTTCTTGTTCCTGGGCTCTGTTCTTTGTTCCTTGCTGCCTAGGGACAATAGGCTTCCGGCTTATACTGCCACAGGATGGACCAAAAACCTTCTACAGCTTACATTCACTTACCCCATCAACCCACCCCATGCTCCTAACTTTAGTTTACAATATAGCTGAGAAGTGAAGAACCTGAGAGGAAGACCATTTATAGTGAGGAAAGGAGGAGAAAGCTTACCCTGATGCCTTTTCTGGAGGAAAAGAACCACAGGCTGAGCCAAGCAGAAATGGAAAAGAATCCTTAGTAGTTTTATCCTGAGGAAGTCCTGTACCTATATGGTACTTGCTTTGACTTAGCTGTTTAGTCTCCACTTTTGGTCTGTTTTTTCCCTCCTGACCAGTATGAATAAAGCTCAGTTAAAGAAGGTAGATATAAGTCACCTATGCCAAAACCTCTTAATTCCTATGTGTAAAAAGTAGGACTGTGGGGCTGGGGAGATAGCTCAGTGGAATAAGTGCTTGCTGGGCAATCACAAGGGCCTGAGTTCAATCCCTGGTTCTGAAAAAAAAAAAAAAAAAAAGGTAGGACTGTTAATATAGGTGGGGACTAAGAATTCATTAACTAACACTTACATTTTCTCTGGGGTAGGAAGCTGAACCATCTATCTCCAGAAATGTCTTCAGAAAGTAAAGAGCAACATGATCTTGTACCAAGGGACTCAGCTGAAGCAAATGACAATCTTCCATCTGGGGTCTCTCTGGAGCCACAAAAGGAATCAAGTACTGACTTCAAGCAAGTCGAAACCAATGAGCAATGCAGACCTTATCCTAGGATTTATTTAGAGCCTCAAGAGAAATCAAATACGAACATTAAGCAATTTGTCATTGAAAAACTACAGAAGAGTTGTCAGTGTAGCTCAACCAAAGCCAAAAATAGGATTTTTGGTTTCTTTCCCGTTTTGCAGTGGCTCCCAAAATATGATCTAAAGAAAAATATTTTGGGAGATATGATGTCTGGCTTGATTGTGGGTATCTTATTGGTTCCCCAGTCCATTGCTTATTCCCTCTTGGCTGGCCAAGATCCTATCTATGGTCTGTACACATCCTTTTTTGCCGGCATCATTTATTTTCTATTTGGTACTTCTCGTCACATCTCTGTGGGCATTTTTGGAATACTGTGCCTTATGATTGGTGAGGTAGTTGACCGAGAACTCCACAAAGCTGGCTGTGACACTGCCCATGTCACTCCTTCTATGGGAATGGTTTCAAATATGAGCTCATTAGTGAACCACACATCAGAAAGGATATGTGACAAAAGTTACGCGATCAAAATTGGAAGCACAGTAACCTTTATGGCTGGAGTTTATCAGGTAAGAAGTGATCAGAATAATCATTGTACATGAAATCTTGGATCTATAAGAGATCCTAGAGATCATAATACTATTTTTACAACAGAGATGTCTCTTTACAGGAAAAAAACACATGGTTTTTGAATTAGAAGAAGTCTTTCAATTTGAGTTTTTGTTTTAATATGGATCCTTGAGAATTTTCTTTTTGAAAAGAAAGTAATGAGATACATTGTTTGAGAAGGCAGAAATCCTCAGTCCTAGTTCAAACTGGGCTAGTGATACACAGTGTGACCTTGGGCAAGTTTTCTCTCCTCACAAAGTGAAATTGATTTTTTTTCTTTCTCTGCATTTATTTTGTCTGACATTTATATTTAATACGTGTATATCCTCCTTTCCAGGTAGCGATGGGCTTCTTTCAAGTGGGCTTTGTTTCTGTCTACCTCTCAGATTCCTTGCTGAGTGGGTTTGTCACGGGTGCCTCCATCACTGTTCTCACATCTCAGGCCAAGTACCTTCTCGGGCTCAGCATTCCGCGGACTCACGGCGTGGGCTCGCTCATCACCACCTGGATACATATCTTCCGAAACATCCGTAAGACCAACATCTGTGATCTCATCACCAGCCTTCTGTGCCTTTTGGTACTTCTGCCAACCAAAGAACTCAATGAGCACTTCAAATCCAAGCTCAAGGCACCAGTTCCTATCGAACTTGTTGTCGTTGTGTTAGCCACACTCACCTCTCATTTTGGAAAACTAAATGAGAAGTATAATTCCAGTGTTGCTGGACATATTCCCACTGGATTTTTGCCACCCGAAGCACCAGACTGGAGCCTAGTGCCTAACGTGGCTGTGGATGCAATAGCTATTTCTATCATTGGCTTTGCTACGACTGTGTCACTTTCTGAGATGTTTGCCAAGAAACATGGCTACACAGTCAAAGCAAATCAGGAGATGTATGCCATTGGCTTTTGCAATATCATCCCTTCCTTCTTCCATTGCATTACTTCTAGTGCAGCTCTTGCAAAGACACTGGTTAAAGAATCCACAGGCTGTCAAACTCAGGTTTCTTCTGTGATGACAGCCTTGGTTCTTTTGTTGGTTCTGCTAGTAATAGCTCCTTTATTCTATTCTCTACAGAAATGTGTCCTTGGTGTAATCACTATTGTAAATCTCCGGGGAGCCCTTCGTAAATTTAGAGATCTACCCAACATGTGGAGGGTTAGCAGGATGGATACACTTATCTGGTTTGTTACTATGCTCTCCTCTGCTCTGATAAGCACTGAAATAGGTCTGCTTATTGGGGTTTGTTTTTCTATGTTTTGTGTTATCCTCCGCACTCAGAAGCCAAAGGTTTCATTGCTTGGCTTGGTGGAAGAGTCTGAACTCTTTGAATCCCTGTCTGCTTACAAGAACCTTCAGACCCAGCCAGGCATCAAGATTGTCCGCTTCATAGCCCCTCTGTACTACATAAACAAAGAATGCTTTAAATCTGCTTTATATAAAAATACTCTAAACCCAGTTTTGGTAAAGGCAGCTCAGAAGAAGGTGGCCAAGAGAAAGCTCAAAGAGCAGAGAGTGGCTCTCGGTGGAGCCCAGGAAGACGTTTCCGTGCAGCTTTCCCGTGATCCTTTGGAACTGCATACTATAGTGATTGACTGCAGTGCAATACAGTTTTTAGATACAGCAGGGATTTATACACTGAAAGAAGTTCGCCGAGATTATGAAGCTGTTGGCGTTCAGATTCTGCTGGCTCAATGCAATCCTTCTGTGAAGGACTCCCTGACTAGGGGACAGTACTACAGAGAGGAAGAACAAAACCTTCTCTTCTTCAGTGTGTATGAAGCAGTGGCTTTTGCAGTAGAGTCTCAAAACCAGAAAGGAACGTGTGTACTCAATGGCATGAGTGGTTTCAGTGATTGAGAAAGCAGATGAAAAGAGGAATGTCTCATAGATTAAAATTTCAGATGAGCAGTATTTTTCTTCCTTGGAGACTTACGGCCTTTTCATATTCACAAATGCAGCAAAGCTCATAAGGCAGAAGAAAATGTGACTTCAGGCTTTACTGCATCTGTGTAAAATATTCTTGAGATATAACACCTAGTAAATTGAGTTATAAAATAGCCCCCAAACTTAATTACGAGCTTGGTTTAGGGCCTACATTTGGACTTTGCCACCCGAAAGGGGTGCAGTTGGGATTTGCTGTAATACCATTGGAGTCTTTGCCTGACTGGAGGAAAAGTAGGGGATATATTGCACTTAGCTTCTTTTGTATCAGGAGGTTAAGAGACTTTTGAACGTGGAGCTCTAATTATAAAAGTTTGCTGCATGCTTCTGTAGCCCCAGTCTTCGCTCCCCAGACAGCAGAGGACTCTGCCTTTTAAGTTAGAAATCACTCCAGTCCTCCTCTGCTTAAGACAGGGAACCACACACACAGTCTGATGGCGGGCAGGTTTGTGACATCCTGTATCACAACCAGTTTGACGTTAAAAACACTCTATGATAAATTGGATGTTTTAGTTACACATTTTTTAGTTGAGGAGAAGTAGGTAAGCAAAGAGTTTTCAAAATCAGAAACTATAATGGCAGACCTCTCGTCTTTTCTGTGATCACTGTTTGTCCTTGTTTCTGAGACAAGTATCACCATCATTATGGCCTAGTTTAGCTGTCAGATATCCTACTGTGCTTTCCCATGGAATTTGCCCTAAACTGGCATTTCTGCCATCAGTGACAGGTACCAAAATAGGATGCTGACTCAGCAATTTTAAATAAGTTTGAGGCAAACTATCAAAGACACTACAAAAAAGGAATGGCTTACATTTCCCATAAGCATTTGTTTACTAGGCAGTATGCTGTATACACCTCACCTCTGCCACTTGCCGTGGCATTTTAATAAGTCTTTGAGGACTGATATTCTCAAAGTGAGGCTGCTTTTCATGGGAAAAATGCACCAAAGTGATAGAGTAATGCCAAAAAACATCAATAATTTTTGGAAGTTTTAGTGAAAATCATGTTGATACATACTGCCATGCAACCTATTGATGTACAGTAAATGTTTATGATAATGACAGCTTTTAACTTCATGTTGCCTAAAGCTATTAAGATTTAGAAGCATCACATTCATAAAATCCAAGTTCTGTGGGTGTATTTATGGTTGTTGGCCACAGGTGGTGAATTGAAGGTTGTTATGTGGAAAAACAGAGAATATCTGACTTTGAAAGCTTATAGTTTTATATTTGGACATGAGCAGGCAAAAAAGACATGTTCTCCAAAGAATAATGGACTAATTTATTTGAGATTAAAGCATCTACCCAAATCTTTTGAAACAAACAAAATGATTGCCAAAGTAAAATCTCATTTTTTAAGCCTATCCTTATAGTCTAAGCAATTTTAAATATAACCTCCATATGTAGGGTATACTACATATGTACATATTATATATATATATACTTTTTGTTAGCTCTGTAAACCTCCAGTGTTGCTTTTCCACAGGTAGATCTTTTTTATTTGCTTCCATAGAAAATACCTATCATTCCATCAAAACAGTTTCTACATTTCTGTTTTTTAGATGATTGATGTTATGCTTATATGCAATATTATCCTAAATTGTGATATTCTTTTATCACTTAGGTTTAGAATTTTCGAATTTCAAAAATGGAATGCTGCCTATACTTGTGCTTTTTAGTTTCTAATGTTTTCCATTTCTGTTGAGTCTAGGAATATTAGTTATAAAGCCACAGTATGTTGGATTTCATTCCTTTTCGCCCAGTAGGACTTAAGATGAGAATATTACAGATATCTAATAACTGACACAGTAATAAATACACGTTTAAGACAACTCTATAGTTTATCCAACATCACCCTAGCAAAGGAATTCAGCTCAGTGCATATTTGGAAAGTCTCTTAGAAGGATGGATAACAGGAATTGCCCAGTACGTGCCATTTCCATCGACAGGTGGATGTAGACAGTTCTGGAGCTTTATGTGTGCAGTAAGCAAATTCTTGAATTATGTGCTGGTTTGTACCTGTCCCACTCAAATGAGATTCTGCTTGGAGTAGCCATTTGTAAAAACTTTTTTTGTCTTTTGTCACAGGGTCACCTGGTAGTTCAGGTTGACCTTGAACTTGCGGCAATCTAGGATTACAGGTGTGTACCGCTACAACCAGCTTGTAAACATTTTAAAGTTTCATTAATGTTTACATTTCATCCTTGCTACTTGAATTGCATTCTGCATACACTTGTACTTTTTTTTATTTTGGGGGTATGTAGAACTGGGCCTTGAATCCAGTGCTTTGAATATGCCTGGCAAGCTCTCTACCATGGACCTTCTTCCTCAGCCCTGAAGACAGGGCCCCACAGAATTGCTCAGGCTGACCCCAAAGTGGGGAGCTCATCTTAGCCTGCCAGCTAGCTGGGGGTAGAGTGCATTTTGGGGTATCTCATATATGCCATCACACTTAGCTTTTAAAAATTTTTGATTGCTGATAATTTAAAGCAATCAGACCGTTAAGACCAGATTCAGTGTCACCACCAAAATCAATATTTTTGTTTGCTTTATGATACTTTAAACATATATTGATCCAAAAACATCTTGCTTATTATAAAGGTGAGAGTCTAAGTGAAGCATTTTCTCATTGGTTATTGATGAATATACAGAATGTAGAATAGCTTAATTTTTTAAAATTGAAATATAATGTGTACTCTCTTGAGAGTTAAAGCTCTCACAAACTTGTTTTTAAATTTGTTGCAACAGACAGGGTAGAGTGAGCCAGTGCAGTTATGTTGTACAAGGAGAACACTGCAGAAGAGTGAAAGGAATAGATCATTACATAGGCTGTTTCTAGCCAGTGAAGGGATCCAGATAAATAGGAACCAATTCCTGGCTCCACACAGTAAGGTCAGTATCAGGAAGCAAGTCTCTCCTAAGAGCAAGTTTCTGTTTCTAGAAGGGAAAATCATAGATTCACCAAAGCTGAAAGCTGAGAAACACTTGGTGAGGTGGTGGCAAGAGCCCGAGTTGGCCTGCTTTGGATAATGGGTCTTCCTAAACTTAAAGTGATTTTTTTTTTTTTTTTGCGTGGAACTGGGGATTGAACTCAAGCCCTTACGCTTGCCAGGGAAGCGCTTATTCCACTGAGCCATCTCCCCAGCCCCCTAAAGTGACCTTTTGTAAGGAAAACAAGGTATGATTTAGGTGTCTGACTTAGCTTTTAAGTAGCAGTCATTGGTGTAAAACTTGGTCATTAAATTTACAGAGTGGCAAATGGTGAATTTAAAAATTCTATGGGGGTGTTAGGTGTATTTTTAAGAATATTCTAATGCTAATAACTACACACTTTAACAAGACTGGTAAATTTCCCCAGGGCTGCTCTCTTAGTAATTTGTCACTTAAGAACACATTTTCGGATGTGAAGGTGATCTGGCTACAACATCTGTCACCCCATTGATCGCCATTGATTCAGCTGATCTGGTTGGCTAGGTGGGTGTCACCTTTCTCCCTCAACGATACATTGTGCATCCTTCCCGAAGCTGTGCACTCGGTCAAAGACGACCACCACCCCCAATAGAGGAGGACCATTCCTTGATCAAGGGTATAGGAGTAGCTGCGTGCTGCCTGCTAGAACCTCCAAACAAGCTCTCACGAACACATTGTCAAAGTTAGACCTGATCTCAATATTAAAGAAAAGGGATTCAGTACATTTCTCAGAAAATTAAATTGAGTCTTTGAATTGTAATAAGAAAATCAAATTCTGCAACCCTTATTGCTTTCCTCTGTTATGAGAACTGTAGGTTCTTTGCATCAGCGTAGATGGTTCTGAGCACCCTTGCAGAAGTCAGGTTCCAAATGCTGGGGCACTGAAGGAGGTGCTTTGTAGACAGTATTGAACTGAGGGCTGGCTGAAGGCTGAGCAAGAGGTAAAGATGATCTGGGTCTATTCAGGGAAAGAAAAGTTCCACGGTACAATGATAAAAATCCAGTGGACAGGATTTAGATTTTGTGTAACTTTTCTGTTAGTGTTTACACCACCTACTTTTGATTTATTCTAGTGATATTGTATTCAAAACAGAGCCTAACAACTGTAAAAAGGACGAAATGGAATCTAGAATGTTAATTAGGTTGTAAACTAACTTGCCCCCCCCTTTTGTAAAATGTGTTTAATTATAAATCAAATTTAGGTGCTAATTCTAAGAATGAAAATTATAATGGAACAGCACAAAATAATATACAGTACCAGCTGCTTCATTATTATAGCCTATGTATTAAAGTACTACTGAGATACTGTACATTAATTTTTAAATTTTTTAAAAATAACTTAGGAATGGAGAATTTAAATGTAGGAGCAAGGGAGGTTTATTTTTATAAGGTAATTTTTATCCTGATACGGACTTTTTTTTAAAAAATATTACATAACAGCTGAAATTTTAAACATTAAATATATTAGCGCAAAAGCATTATACTAAATCACTAGATTCTTTGGTATGTATTTTATTTTTAACTTAGTGGTATAATTCTGAAGACAAGATAATAAAGGTCAACAAATGCCTTTATTAAAGATGCTATTTATGTTAAGTCTGCAGATAGGCCACCAAGTTTTTATCTGAAGCTTTAATAAACTTATTTTGGGGACATTCTCTTTTCCTACTGTATACTGTATCCCTACAATAAGATACCTGGAATCAAGTAGCTCTAGCCTTAAAGGAAGTGCCTTGGTGTTAATCATAAATCATTTCTTGACTACCTTATGGGACAAGGATGAGTTGTTGAGCATCATGGTCTATGGAAAGGAAGTTGTTGAACAATAGGTCTTTTTTTTTTTTTTTTCTGAAAGGGTATGTTTTGCGCATTATGTAAGAGCCTGTATGTGTGATGAAATCTTACTATCTGTTAATAAATTATTACTGTAATAACATTACCGTGTCTAAATTTATCTTACTGGAAGGGAGATTCTGAGAAACACAGTAGGCACTATGAGTTTTAAAATACCATTAATTACATTTGGAGAGTGATTCATGCATTTTCTCAACCATAACAAAAGTTATCTGTCCCCATGAAAAGATATAAAGAAACCCAGTTCTTTCCTGTTGGGGACTCAGTTCTAGATGGTTGCTTAACTAAGTCTCACATCCGATGTCTTTTCCCATTTTCGTTGTCTTCCCTCTCCATCTTTAGGACAAAAATTACCAGAGGCTTGCGCCTGTGGGTTCTTCAGGTTTCTAAACTTGTCTCCTTTAGGTAGCCCACGTCTGCCCTCTGGTGGACAGACTGCTTACATTCATTTGAAAGATGACTTTCCGTGGTCTCAGCAGGTAACACGTCTAATATTGGAATTAAAGTTATTTGAACTTATTTGTGCTTTTTGTATCATGATTTGCTAGAAATAGTAAATAGGTGATTGAGATATAATAATAAATAAGTGTGAGTTTTCTTGTTGAATAAAAGGACCCTCCTTAGTTAACAAACTTTTGTAGTTATCTGGAACTCTGAAACCCTCAAGATCTGTTAATGGAAGAAAGGGTTGGTAAGGCAGGTCTCTGACTGTAAATGATACTAGTTAAGTTCCAAAAAGGGATAGGCAATGATGCCAACAGCAGTTAAAGAACGTTTATTCTACATTAGGCACATTTTAATCCTGAGCGCACAATCGAGGTTCCTACTTGCATATTAGCCTCGGGAGAATAGTTGGGGCAAAAATGTTGCTCATGTGGCGTGATTCGCAAAGCATGGAACCAGCCCTGGCGCCCATCACTAGATGACTAGATAAAGACAGTGTGGCATGTGTGTACACAGAATGGAGTATTATTCAACCCTAAAGAATGAAATTGTGTCATTTGTAGGATAATGGGTAGAATTAGAGATTGTTATGTTAAAAGTCAGAACGAAACATTTTTTAAAAGGCATAAAAGAAGGGGAACTATTATGTAAGGGAAGGAATAAGGTAGGGAGAAATAAGTTTAATAAAAGGTAATATGGGATGGATTCTATCAAAACGTTATATGCAGGCTGAACAGGGCAATATGTGCTTGTAAACCCAGCCCTCAGGAAAGCAGGAGAATCGCCTCAAGTTCAAAGTCACCTTGGGCTACATAGAATTCAGGGCCACCCTGAAATACATAGTAAGACCCTGTCTAAAGAATATATACATGTAAGAAAATACCACATTGAATTTCAGTGCTTTGTAAATTTAATAGTCTCTAATAAAATATTTTTTAAAGAGAAAAGCACTCAGTGCTGCGAACTGGTGCAGTTCTGGTTCCCAGGGGAAAATGGTAAGAGTATGAAGAAACACAGACAAGAGATGAAAGCTGAGGACAGGTGGTGCCCTTTCTCTTGATGGGAGAAGCACTGAACCACCACCATAGGGGCATTTATTTATATATTTGACAAGGTATCATGCACACAGGGTTGCCTAGAGACTACTGACTGGCGAGTAGTTTAGTGGCTTTAGGAACCCTGGCCCCCCTTTTGCCCCCCACAGGTGACCAGCTTCCAGCTTCAGCCGCTCCCGCTTTCCTGTTTTGCAGTGTAAATGATGGATGTGGCCAAGAAGTTTTTCTGGGGTCCAGCCTTGGGGGAGGGGGAAGATGCATGCAGCCACTGTCTCAGCCAGTTGACTGCAGGCACTGGCATGCTGGCTGTGGCTCCTGCTCTGGCTGTTGGCTGCCCTGCTGCTGCTGCTGCTGCTGCTGCTGCTGCTGCTGCTGCTGCTGCTGCTGCTGCTGCTGCTGGGGTTCCCAGTACAGGTGCTGTTTGATCCATGTGCACTTGTGGGGCCAAAAAATGCACACACTGCCAGCAGAGAGAGCCAAGGCACACTGCAGTGATGTTCTACCTATTTGGGCCCAGGTGCCCAGGCCTGTGATTGGTGTCTGGAAGTCCCAGCTAAGTCCAACTAGGACTGGAGCACAGGGCCCTCCCTGCATCTGGCCTGTGCTCCTCTCCATGGTGCTGTGCCACTCTGAGCTAGTGGTGCACAATTACAAGAATTTTCTTTCTTGTCTTCTTTTTTTTTTTTGATGGAGAAAAGCTAGAAGTTTTAAGCAGTGGTACCTTTGTTCTGCCCTCTTTTCCTGCTTGGGACTTGACTTTAATACTCTGAGCCATGTCCTTTGTGATGGTCTTAAA